TGACTTTATCAAAAGTGCAGAAGCTTCAGCTTTAGTAATTGCTGAGCCCAATTTAACAGTGGGAGAGCGCATTTTTCTAGCAGTAGAAGCTACGCAAAATGCTGTTGGCATGAATACCAATTTAGGTATTATTTTGTTATGCGTTCCATTGATTCATACGGCTCTGCAATTAGATGAGATTAACTCACAAACATTTCAGAATTCACTTGCAATAACACTGGGTCAATTAACATTGCAGGATGCTCAGCTGGCCTCAAAAGCAATAGTGTTGGCCAAACCAGCAGGCTTGGGGGCATCAAAAATGCACGATGTCAACGCGCCCGCCTCAGCAACGTTATTGGGCTTAATGCAAGCTGCAGCGGATAAAGATAGGATTGCTTGGCAATATGCAAACAACTTTTCTGATATATGTCAGTTTGGCGTTGCGCATTATCAAGTAGCGTTAGCTAAATATCAAAATCCGGCATGGGCAACAACCGCGCTATATTTAGGCTTTTTGGCAAGAATTCCAGACACGCATTTGGTGCGCAAACATGGTGATAATATTGCTTTGACGGTCATGCATGAGGCTCAACAGCTAGAAGCAAATTATTGGGCAACAAATAACCCAAAATTGGTGCAACAGCAACTTATTAATTTTGACGTGACTTTAAAAAATAGGCAATTCAACCCAGGCACAAGTGCAGATCTTACTGTTGCAAGCGTTATGTTAAGTAGAATATTTAACTGATTGATTTTAATATATAAAATTAAATTGCCTAATGTAAAGAATTGTTAATGTTCGCCTACATTTTAATTTATGTGTTATACATGTATGGTTACAGAGTTATAATAAATTCGTTGTAATAATTGAGGATAGGGTCGTGTTGGATACTATTAAAAAAGGAAAAATTGCTTTTCTAGAAGATAATGCGCATTATGCTGCGCAGGTGATTGAGTGGTTAACCCAAGCCAATTATGAAGTGGCTCATTTTGTTACAGGTATGGACTTTTTAAAAAACTTCTCGGATTCTCAGTACGATTTATGTATTTTTGATTGTAACTTGCCAGATATCAATGGCGCTGACGTCATGGGGAGTGTTAAATTAAGATTCAATAAATTGCCACCTATTATTTTTTTAACGGGACATAGCAAAGAAGAAGATATTGTCCACATCATAGAATCAGGGGCTGATGATTATCTAATTAAGCCAATAAGTCGTTCAATATTGCTGGTTCGTATTAACGCTTTGCTAAGGCGTTCAGCACCAGATTTACGAGAGGATAGTTTTGGCGACTTCGGTACATTAAAAGTGGATGCCAAGCAGCGTAAAGTCACTTTAGATGGCGTTGACATTAAGTTAACCGGCAAAGAATTTGACTTGGCCGTTTATTTTTTAAGAAGTGAAGGAGCTTTGCTCTCACGCGTGCATTTAATGCAAGTGGTTTGGGGCTCAAGTGCAGAGGTTGCAACACGTAAGGTGGATGTCCACGTGAGTCACTTACGTACCAAATTAAAACTAACACCTGAGTATGGCTGGAAGTTGACCTCTATTTACCAACAGGGTTATCGTCTAGAGCGTAACCAATAGCTGATATTTATGCACAAAACTGCCTTACAATTGTTTTTTTTAGTCGGTTTACTTTGTATTAGCTTTAGCCTCAAAGCTAGTGAGCCAGATTGGCCTTACACCGTTAAACCAAACGATTCATTTTACAGTATTTATCGCGCGTATTTAACTCATCCTAACAATATTGCCAAGTTGTCAGTACATAATCATCATAAGCTGACAAAAAAATTACAACCTGGCCAAGTGCTTCAAATTCCTGTGGCGATGCTAAAAAAAATTCCTACGCCCGTGCAAGTATTAGTAGCTTCAGGTGATGTGATTAAAACGTCTGTGGCGATTAAAGATGAAGAAAAGCTAAAAAAAGGTGAGTTATTAGCTGAAGGTGACACCTTAAAAACAGGCAAATATAGCGTTGCCAAGCTAAGGTTTGCTGATGGATCGATGGTAGATGTGCAACAAAATTCGCAAATTGAAATTGTAAATAGTTACCAATACGTAGGTAAATCAACTTATGTAACTTTGCTTAAACTTGTTAAAGGCCGAACAGAAGTTGGCGCAAACCCAAACCACACAGTTGGTAACGCAATGCGTGTGCAAACGCCATCTGCCATTGCAGCGGTGCGCGGCACGCGCTTTAGAGTGAATGCAAAAGAAAATGTTGCGCTACAAGAAACCTTAGAGGGCAAAGTTGCTTTTAGCGCAGCGGGCGAAGAAATCATGTTGGTACAAGGTTATGGCAGTATCGCAGAAAACGGCAAAGCGCCATTACCGCCTATCATATTGCCCAGCGAGCCCGATATTAGCGGCTTGCCAACGCAGCTTGAGCCAGATCAAGGGCAAGTCACCTTTGAGCTTAAGCCGCAAGCTGATGCGGTAGCTAGAGTTGGGCATCTTGCGCAAGATGCCCAATTTTCACAAATCATCCATGAGCAAACCACCACCAACAATCAACTTACGTTCACCGTGCCTGATGGGGCATATTTTCTGCGCTTAAGAGCACAAGAATCGCATGGTTTGCAAGGGGCAGATGTTACGCATGCCTTTAACGTTAAAACAAAAATACCGCTTGTAATAGAGCAAAAATTAACATTGATTGCCCCAGCTAATGCTGAAGTAATTGCGCTAGCACCCACACTATTTAGTTGGTCAGCCGTGCCTCAAGCACAACAATATCAGTTACAAATTGCGCGCGATGCGCATTTTAAAGAGTTGATATTTGAGCAATCAAGCAATGAGAATCAGCTCACGATACGCCAGTCTTTCGGTAAAGGTCAATATTATTGGCGCGTAATCGCAGTTGTGCATGATAAGCCGCAAAAATCCTCAGATTTTTGGCAATTTTCACGCTAATTTTTTATACTAAATTGAGTGCGAGAAATTTTAACACCTCTGGAAGCCGCTTGGATACTGGCTTACAGAGGTGCTGAAATGATAATGGTATATAAATGGGTGTTTTTAACCCATTTTAACTTCTCACAATTTACCCCAAAACCTATGCTATGCTAAAGGCTGTGAACGCTCTATTTAAGCCTCTAAAAGTTCTTGGTGATCGCGTATTTACCGCGTTAATTTTAGCGCTCATCGCGATACTTATTAGTTATAGCGGCGTGTTGTCACGGTTAGATTTTTTACATTATGACTTAGGCTTCTATTTCACCGCCAAACCCGCGCCAGAAGATATTGTGATCGTGGCAATTGATGAAACTAGTTTAGACAAAATCGGGCGCTGGCCTTGGTCGCGCACGGTACATGCTGATTTAGTGCAAAAATTAACGCAAGCCCAAGCCAAAGTCATTGGTTTAGATTTAATTTTTACCGAACCAGAAAATACCAATCCAAACGCTGACATCGCACTGGCACAAGCCATTAAACAAGCGGGCAATGTGGTGCTACCGCACTCTTACAGCTCAACAAATCCCATATTAAGCCATGCTGCCGCCACTGGGCATGTGCGCGTGCCGCTTGATTTAGATGGCTTAGCGCGTAGCATTTATCTGTGGGAAGGCTTTTCAGGCGGGGCTTTGCCTCACAATATCAGTGAGCATTTTTCGCAGGCTGTTTTACGCACGGCACAACAACTACCAACGGAAATACTTGCGCCAAGCGTGTCATACTCTGACGCAAATTTAATGCCACTACAATTTATTTCATTAGAATCTCGAAAAATCAAGTTTTTAGGTGCACCTAAGCACTTTCGGCATATTGCCTACAGCGCAGTCATAGATGGACAATATCCCGACCAGTTTTTTAAAGGCAAAATTGTGTTAATCGGTGCCACCGCGGCAGGTTTGGGCGATGTTTTACCTACGCCTGTTTCAGCGATGTCTGAACCCATGCCAGGCGTTGAGTTTCATGCCAATGCCATTGCAGCCATGCGCAGTGGCGAACTCATCCAATATGCACCTTTTTGGCTCACCAGTTTATGTTGTGTTTTTTTGGCCATTTGTCCATTACTATTTTTGCCTAAATTCAGCCCGCTAAAATCGCTCATTTTTATACTAGCGTATTATTTATTAGTGACTATATTCATCATTGGTTTGCCTCACTGGAGCAACGTGTGGATTCCACCATCGGGTGCGTTTATCGCCATATTGCTGGCTTATCCCATCTGGAGTTGGCGTAAGTTAGAATCCGCAAGGGTGTATTTAGACCAATCTTTACAGCATTTACAAGCAGAATTAGCCTTGCTAGGCTTAAATCCTGAATATGATGCTGGCTCTTTACAATCTAACGTGCCTGACCAAATGCAATCGCGTATCGCTAAGGTTGAACTCACATCACAGTATCTGCGCGAAGCACAACAAAAGCGGCTAGACACACTGGCATTTATTTCACACGACATTCGAACCCCATTGGCCACAGCGATGATGCAGCTTGAAGAGCCGCAATTCAATCAAGCGCGCGTTAAACAAATGCTGACAAATGCGCTCAATATGGCAGATGAATTTTTACAATCATCTCGCGCCGAAATGGCCGACACCTCAAAATTTAATGAAATTGAAATAAAAGGCCTTATTCAGCAAGTTGTGGATGACGTTTACGAAATTGCCAAGCACAATAACATACGTTTACAAACAAATATGCCTGAACAAGATTTGTGGGTGAAAGGTGACTTTGGATTATTGCAGCGCGCGCTCACCAATTTGCTCTTAAACGCAGTTAAGTACTCGCGCGAAGATACAGTTGTCACAATAGACTTATCCATTATTTCGCAAAAAATGTTCATAAAAGTCACCGATACAGGGCAGGGCATACCTGCCGAAAAAATTGGCAAATTATTTAAGCGCTTTAGCCGAGTAGAAGGGGAATACCAACTGCCCATGGGCACTGGTTTGGGCTTATATTTTGTGGATATCTGCGTACAAAAACATGGCGGGAATGTTTCGGTAGAAAGCAAGCTAGGCTTAGGCACCCAATTTGCCATTGAATTACCGTTGCTGAAAGTAGAAAATGCGTGATAATTCAGTTATAATTAGCCTCAGTTTTTATCAGGATTATTTATTCTAACGGAGAAAGCCATGGCAAATTTATTAGACCAACTTAAAGCGATGACAACAATTGTGGCAGATACAGGGGATGTTGAGGCGATTAAAGCAGTTAAACCAGTAGATGCAACAACTAACCCATCTTTAGTGTTAAAAGCAAGTCAATTACCGCAATATGCACCATTAATTGAAACAGCGATTGCTTATGCAAAAGCACAAGGTGGCACAAAAGCGCAACAAATTGACAACGCTGCCGACAAACTAGCAGTATTGATTGGTACAGAAATTACTAAAGTCGTTCCTGGTCGTATTTCTACAGAAGTAGATGCACGTTTGTCTTTTAACTTAGACGCGATGGTGGCAAAAGGCCGTAAGTTGATTCAACTTTATGCTGATTCTGGCGTAGATAAAAGCCGTGTGTTGATTAAATTAGCTTCAACTTGGGAAGGCATCAAAGCTGGTGAAATTCTTGAAAAAGAAGGCATTCAATGTAACCTCACATTGTTGTTTGGATTTGGTCAAGCACGTGCATGTGCAGAAGCTGGTGTATTTCTGATTTCACCATTTGTAGGCCGTATCTTAGACTGGTACAAGGCTAAAAACCCAGCTGAAAATTACACACAAGAAACTGATCCAGGTGTGGTATCAGTGCGTGCAATTTATCAATACTACAAAGAGCATGGCTACAAAACAGTGGTGATGGGCGCATCATTCCGTAACACTGGCGAGTTGATTGCTTTGGCTGGTTGCGACCGTTTAACCGTATCACCAAACTTGTTGCAAGATTTAGCTGCAACTGAAGGCACACTCGTACAAGTGCTTAAAGACAGCGGCAAAACAAAAACACCTCCAGCAAAAATGACTGAAGAAGAGTTCCGTTTCGAGTTAAACCAAGATCCAATGGCAACAGAAAAGTTGGCTGAGGGTATCCGTGGCTTTGTGACTGACCAAAACAAACTTGAAGCTGCATTAAGCGAAAAACTTTAAGTTAATAATATTTGCCAAATAATGGTGTCCAATCATTATTTGGCATTGACACAAAAGCACTGGCTATTTATCATAGTCACCTAACTTTTGAGAGCAAACCTACATGTTTGCTCAAAGCGTTAAGTAGTAATTTTTTAGTATTTCTATAAATCAATCGGAGAAAAACCATGGCTTTAACCCAAATGGCATTAGATTCATTAGACTTTGACGCAACCGTTGCATTAGCAACTGCAGTTGCTCCACACGTGGACATTCTTGAAATCGGTACACCATGCATCAAGCACAACGGTATCAAATTGCTTGAAACATTACGTGCTAAATTCCCAAACAACAAAATCTTAGTTGACTTGAAAACTATGGATGCTGGTGAGTATGAATCAGAGCCATTTTACAAAGCGGGTGCGGACATCTGTGTAGTTTTAGGCGTATCTGATATTGGTACAATCAAAGGTGTAATTAAAGCGGCAAACAAATACGGCAAAAAAGCACAAGTTGACTTAATCAACGTTGCTGACAAAGTTGCTAAAACTAAAGAAGTAGCTGCTGCTGGTGCGCACATCATCGGTATTCATACTGGTTTAGATCAACAAGCTGCAGGTCAAACACCATTTGCTGACTTAGCTGCAGTTGCTGGTTTGAACTTAGGCGTTGATATTTCAGTTGCTGGCGGCGTTAAAGCTGCTACAGCTGGTCAAGTTCGTGATGCTGGCGCTACTATCATCGTTGCTGGTGCTGCTATTTACGGTGCTGCTGACCCAGCTGCTGCTGCTGCAGAAATCACAAAAATCGCTCACGGTTAATTTTAACTTTATCAATAAGTAATTATTGATATGAGCCTTTGAAATCCCGACCCAGCAATGTGTCGGGATTTTTAATTTAAGTCGATGTAAAACAGATAAAAGGAAAAATGATGAGTACAAGTCAAAAACTTATTTTAGATAAATTAACCAGCATTTTGGCCGAAACTGACAATTCAAAATCAGCTGAACTATTAAAGTTGGTTGAAGGTGCAGGCCGCACATTTATTGGGGGTGCTGGCCGATCATTGCTAGTTTCACGCTTCTTTGCTATGCGCTTAGTACATTCGGGCTACAATGTGAGCATGGTGGGTGAAGTGGTAACGCCAGCGATTAAAGCAGGTGATTTGTTGATTTTAGTATCAGGCTCAGGTGGCACAGAAACTTTATTGCCATTTGTGAAAAAAGCCAAATCAGTTGGTGCAAAATTAGCCGTTATATCAATGAAAAAATCTTCAGCTATGGCAGATGTTGCTGACTTGGTTATTCAAATTGGTAATGACAATAGTTTCCCGCTCACCAAAGGCATGCCTATGGGCTCACAATTTGAATTATCAACTTTAATCTTCTTAGAAGCGACCATTGCAGATTTGATTTTTGCAAAAGGTTTAACTGAAGAAGGTATGCGTGCAATTCACGCAAACTTAGAGTAATATTTCTTTTGTAGAATGAAAATGCGGGTGATGAAAATCACCCGTTTTTTTTACCTTACAATAAGCAAATTTTGAATATCTTTCTGTTAGAACCGCTGCAAGCCTTATTCTATAAGGCTTGCAGGGCAGTGATTTTGCACGGCGGTTTACAATCGGCGAAATATTCTTTATGAGCTACCTTCCTTTTAATAAGTAGGGTTTCTTATTCGAGTGAGTTTGTTAGGTCTCATACAATGTCCCTCACTCCATCAATAGGCTTTAACTTAAATCTGCGGGTAATGAATTTTTGATTGAGCCAGTGTCGTAAACCGTATGATCAATATAGTTTTGCTTTGCAAAAGGTGAAACAATAATGGCTAGTATGCGTGTCCCAGGCCCCCAACAATCGCCTTTTGGTGGTGCAACATGTTCTCAAAACCCACCATTTCGTCATAGGTGACAACAATGACAGTTGAACTCCAATGCACACTCGCTTTTATTTTTATCACTAAATCGGCAATGTGTTGGTCACCAGACCAATCATCTGTATAACTGGGATGCTCGTTCATTTTTCAACACTCTTAGGAAAATTGGTAGGACAAATCAGACGTTCAATGCAGCTATAAAATGCGTCTGAAAATATTCAGTTTATTTTAAGGTTCGGTGTGTAAATTAGATTTCTCTTAATTCAACAAAGGAGTCAAAAAATGACAAATTCAATTCATAAATTTACTGCTGTATCCATTTTTGCAATAGGAATTTTTTCTACTCATGCAATTGCAGATGATGATTTAAATGAAGCTGACGCAATTAGCAAAGAGTTTGGATTAATTACATTAAACGATGCTAAAGTCAAGGCGCTCGCAGCTAAACCTGGCGTAATTAAAGATGCAGACTTAGAAAATCGTAAGTTCGGTAAGGGATGGGATTACGAGTTTGAGATCGTAGATTCAGATGGTAAAGAGTGGGAAGTGAATATTGATGCTAAAACAGGAAAGGTAAGCGGAATGAATCGTGATTGGTTTTAGCAGCTTATAATAAAATAGGGCGTTTTCGGACGCCCCTTGATTCAGTATCTAGCCCAGCTTAACCTCTACCCGCAGTCCACCAAGCGCTGGGGATCTGCTAAAACTAAGATTGCCATTGTAACTTTCTACAATGTCGTTGACGATTGCTAAACCTAAACCGCTTCCTGGCTGCGACTCATCTGCGCGGAAACCGCGTTTTGTCAAAATTTCTAAGTCAGGCACTGGGGGGCCAATACCATCATCTTCGATGATAAATATGATGCCATGTTCTCCAGTTATTGTTAAAGACACTCGTTCTATTGACCATTTACAGGCATTATCAAGTAAGTTACCAAGTATTTCGATTAAGTCCTCCTTGTCACCAAAGAACTTTGCTTCTGAAAGAATCTCCCATGTAATGTTTATACCTTTTTGAGAATAGATTTGCCTTAGTGTATTGATAAGATCTTTAACAACAACCTTTAAATCTACTTGCCTACCTGGGCGCAGATCCCCAAGCAGTCGAGCACGTTTTAGTTCACGCTCAACGATGCCATTTATCGCGGCTGTTAATTCATAAATAGAAGATTGTGCCTCTTTGACACTGATTATTTCTTGTCTTTCAGCAATTTGATTTAATAAGGTCAATCTGGTTTTGAGAGCATGCGCAAGATTTCCTAAAGACTCACGAGACCTGTGATACTTTCTATCCAAACCAGTTAATAGACGGTTTAGTTCTGCTATGAGTGGCATTATTTCTACGGGACCTACTGCATCAAGCTGACTAGACTCGCCTTGTGCAAGCTTAACAATATTCTCCTGTACCTTTTGTAACGGCTTTAGTGCACTTAAAATCATCAGCCTTTGTACCAGTAGCAAAAGTAGCAAACCTAAAAAAGAAATGAATGCATATGTGATTTGAAAGCGATTTATGTTGGCATTCAATGGCTCTATATTTTCAGCAACTGCAATCGTTATTGTTTGATCCTGTTTTTTAAACCCTCGTAAAATAACTAATAATGGTTGCTTCTCTGGTCCGTATAATTTCAGCTTTTTATCTTCTCCCGCTTTAAGTAACTCTACATTAAGCTCTGAGTCCCATAACGATCTGGAAACAAGCTGCTGCCTCGCTGTCTGAATACTGAAGTAATGGCCTGAAAACGGGCGCAGATAGATTGCTCCTAGGTGCTGAGTATCTAGATGTATTTGATTAGAAGAGTTGAATTTGGTGATTGATAGCAATGTTTCACATTCGCGTCGGAGTCTATCCGCCAACTGATTTTCTGTCAGACGGCTAATTGCATATGAAACTATTAAAAATTGAAATGTAAGTAGTAAAACTAAACTGAGCACCAAGCTCCACGTTAGGGTGGTTTTTAACGATGTCATTAATCGTTACTTCCAAATATATAACCTTGCCCGCGTCTGGTTTTAATTAAATTAGCCCCAATTATATGACGCAAGCGGTTCACGTATACCTCTATAACATTACTATCTTTGTCTTCATCATATTCGTAAACATGCTCCGTCAATTTAGATTTAGATAATAATTGCTTTGGGTGAAGCATAAAATAGCGAAGTAGTCTGAATTCTGTACCTGTTAGGTTATGACGAATGCCATTTTTTAGTATTAATTCCTGTCTATCTTCGTCCAGTGTAATATTTTCGAAGCTAATGGAGCTTGCAATAGAAGCCTTGCTTCTTTTAAGAATTGCATTTACTCTTGCCAACAATTCATCAATTTGAAAAGGCTTACTCATATAGTCATCAGCACCAGCTTTAAAGCCTTCAACCTTCTCTTGCCAGCTACCACGAGCCGTAAGGATTAGAACTGGCACTTGATTACCTCGCTTACGCCAGTTACCAAGTACTTCCAGTCCAGGTTTCTTTGGCAAACCTAAATCAAGAACTACTAAATCATAGGGTTCAATTTCCCCTAGCGCTTCTGCATCAACCCCATCTGATGATATATCTACAGCAAATCCAGCTTTCTTCAAAGATAGCTGTAATTGTGATCCTAAGGTGGCGTCATCTTCAACTAAAAGAAGTCGCATTATTAATCCTCTTCCAACTTTATTAATCCACCAGTTTTAGCATCCAGTTCTACTTCCCAAACTAATCCGTTGTTATCGAGTAATTCTACTTCGTAGATATAACGTCCCTTTTTGTTTTCAAACTCAGTTTCCAATATCTTTCCTGGTTTTATTAAATTAGCTTTTTTATGGATTATTTCAAGGGGTAGTATTTGGCCTGACTTACTTAGTTTACGCGCCTCATGTTGACCATCTTGAGCAAATGCCTCAATTGGATTTGCTGTTAAGATAAGCATTGCTATGACAAAATAAAGTACATACAGTTTTAACATTAGCTTGCTGTTATAACTCGTATTTATTTGACTGTTCATATCGATTCTTATACTCAACCATTTGATTGCGTTATCTGTTTATACACCTCGAACCACATTCATAATTTCGCTCATATCTAAATTGCTGGCTCGTTGTTGAATCTGCGGTATATATTGAGACTGTAATTTTTTTGCAGGCTCGAGGATATTCTGGAAGCTTTCTCGGAGCAGAGAAGCATTCATTACGCGACCACCTAAATAATAGCGTTTTGCAACTTGTCCCAGGGCATAAGTAGTCGCAAAAGAAAAAGCTATGCTAGTGGTAGCTTTTCCAAGCTGTTTACCTAATCCACCAGCAACACCACCTAACAAACCTCCTAGCAATTTTCGACCAAATTGCTCTAAATACTGAGAGGTTAACCCTACGCCAACGGTTGCCATCAACTCACGAATGTGCCCCTGATCAAGTTCGTAACCATAGCTTCTTCCTATGCTGTACACCATTTTGATTTGGAGGGGAATTATCGCCATAGATGCCCATGACTGTGGAAGCAGTTCAAGCGCCCCATTGAGAATGGAGGACTTAAGAATGCTGCGATCAACATCAGCTTCCAGTGGTAATAGCATAAAGTTGTTCAAATAGTGTATCAATTTGTCCAACAATCTCAACCTCATATTGTTTACAGATATAGTCTGCGATGGCATTGGGTGCTGCAAAGAATCCAGCACCGCTTTGTCCAAACGATTTTAGCAGCGCACTATCGTCAAACTCAGCCACGATATGAGGATACACCTTTGCTGATTCAAACCATTGAATAAGTTTTTTTTGAATAGCAAAGTCTTCACCAGGAATAAGAAAATTGGCTTTGTTCAAATTGTAAGGAAATATATTGCCCGCGTGTTGTTGTATTAAACTTTTTGTGCCAAATACTGCCAAATTACTCTCTCCAAGAAAATGATTATAAGCACGTACGTTTAAGTTTGTTGGCATGGGGCGATCAGCAATAACAATGTCAAGCCGATTAATTGACATTTCTGATAGTAAATTTGTTAATTTTCCTTCCTTACATATTAAACGAATCGAGTTGTCAAACTTTAAAATAGGCTCAATGACACGGTAAGCGATAGATTTCACTACCGAATCGGCAATTCCAATATGTAATGGCTGACTTTGGACAGCGTCTTTATTTTGAGTTAGCTTTAACAATTCATTACCAAGCGTAAAAATCTCATCGGCATAACTGAAAATTTTACGACCCATTTCACTTAGTTCTAGTCCACGACCAACTTTATGGAAAAGCTTAACATTAAGACTTTCTTCAAGTTCTGCAAGTTGACCGCTTATGGCTTGTGGCGTAATAAATAACTGTTCACTTGCCCTTGCAATACTACCTGTTTTACCCACCATCCAAAAATAACGTAAATGTTTAAAGTTTAAATCAGCCATTTAAGATTCCTCAGATAATTGATTTTATTTCAACTGATCAAAAATATAAATTTAGATGTTCGATTAAAAAAACAAATCAATAACACTTTATCTTATTTTTAATACCGTTTGGCCTAGCATTTCTGGCGTGATTAATGTAATGCCGTGCGGCGTTACGTGAAATCTTTGCTGGTCTATTGCTGGATTTAAG